TCCTTACTTCCACGCAGGTCATATCCATTGAACTAGCTTCCCCACAGATACAGTACCACCAAAGTGGGAGTCCTTGTGGAAACAGACACACAAGCAGAACTAAAGACAAAGCTTGTACAGTTATCCCTTCCACATCGTGACTTTCCCCATCACGGTTTTGATATGTCACAGGTCGGCATAAGAAATTAAATGGGAATTTTGGGGGAGGTTTGTGGAAGCCTCAGATGACACAGAAGAAGTTTAAAAACTCAGAATGCATAAAATATATGCATAGTATTGTATAATATCAACATATTTTGTCTTTTCATACTATAATAATTCAGACTTCTCTGGTATGAAGGGAGGGTCAAAAATTTTTACGGGAATTTTCCAGATTGCAGGGGTGCTGTGCCCCTAACCCCCTTGATGTGAAAGGGATAACTGTAATTCCTTCCTAACCCTTTCCTCCCCCATGATGCATTCAGGTATTATTCTGTCCAGTTGCTTCCTATAACATTCCTCTGCCCTTCAAACCTAAATGGCCACAGAGCTCTCACATTCCACAAAGAGTAAATATTCTTCTGTGGTCACTCTCTCTGTTCCCAAGCCCTCTGAATCCCAGCTTCCTTTCATCTATTCATAGTATCTATAATTTTTCATTCATATCCCTTTCCCTAAAGTTTCTTTCTCCTTCCTTCCTTAAGCCAGTCTTCTCTTGCTCCAGAATGCCAGTAACCAGTCTTTGGAATGTTGCCACTTTCCCTGCCAAACATGTGCTGGGGATGGAATGGAGGAACAGTCCTCCCAGCTTCCCTTAAGCTGATAATAATAATAATTCCCTATGCTAATAATAAACTGATCAGACCACATCTGGAGGGTTTGAGGATAGAATAAAATCAATAGCATTCTCAGAATTGGCACAGAATTTCAGAGTTGGAAGGACCTCTAAATCCATCTAGTCCAAATAATGATTACCATGTGATCATCCATCAGTCTGTTAAAGTGGAAAGAGCACTAAATTTGACATCTGGGGACCTGGGTTTGAATCTCTCTCTCTCTCTCTCTCTCTCTCTCTCTCTCTCTCTCTCTCTGTCTGCCTCATACCCTGCAAAATGGAAAAGATGGAAATAATCAGTGCTGGAAGAGCTACAAGAAGAGAGGCACACAAATACATTATTGGCAGAGCTGTTGATTGGTCTAATAATTCTTGAAAGCAATTGGCAATTATTACAAAAAAAAAAAGAGGTAACTACTAAGTTTAGCAATTTGCAATTACGCTTAACAAGTAAAAAAGCCAATACCCTTTGACCCAGATGTCCCACTGCTAGGCATTTATCTCAAGGAGGTCAAAGGCAGAAAGAATGGCCCTATATTCACCAAAATATTTATAGCAGCACTTTTTTGTGGTAACTAAGAACTGGAAACAATGAAGTTGCCCATTCACTGGGGAATGGCTAAACAAATTGTGATATATGGATGTAATGGAATATATCTGCAGCATAAAAAAGAATAAATATGAGGAATTCAGAGAAATATAGAAAGACATAGATGAACAGTGAAGTAAGCAGAACTAGGAAAACAATTTACACAGATGCAATAATGTAAACAGAAAGAATAAAAATCCCAAAAACCTAATTATAATTATAATGACCTAATTATAATTATATACACACTATATTTATAATGGCAAAGCAGCCCTAGAGAAAAGTTGAGGAAATGAATTTCCCTCTCTCTCTTCATTGAGACGGCAGGGAACAATGAATATGGAATATTGCATATGCCATCAGACACATTCAATATTTTGCTGACTTTTGTTTTAACTATTTTTTCCTCTTTCTTTTTTCTATTCTTTGTTACAAGGGATTACTTGCTAGAGAGGTGGGGGGAATGGATATATCTGGAAAATCTGGGT